AATACCATTCGAGCAATGCAAATCCATTGCAAGATACCGAAAAGGCTCTTTTTGGTTGTATTCCGTACTTAAAACACAAACCAAAAACAAAGGGTATTAAGACTCGCATGCGGCTTCCATCACGCTGCAGAGCATGGTGTGCTCCTATTGGGGTCCCGATCCTCCTTGTGGGAGGCATCTGCGACAGTAGTCTCCGGGCCTGTCCGCGCCGTCGCGGGGTGCATCGCCGGCGCCGACAGGCCCTTCCCCGCGCGGCGCCTGGCTTGCCCCACTGCGGCCGGCCGGCCTCGGCCCGCTCACCTTGGTGAAAATGCTGGCAACGCCGGCGGCCAAACCGAGGGCTTCCAAAGCGTCCTGCGTCGCAGGTCACGACTCATGTCGGACACGGCTCACGGTGTAAATCACCGGTCGGTGCCAGAGGCGCTCTCAGGCATACGCGGCAGGGGGGCTGCGGCCCCAGGCCGCGCGTGCCCCGAATTCCAGGCGCCATCCGGCGGCAGTTGGTAACAGCCGGTGTGTTCCCCCCTCCCCACCTGACTTCCGCTGTCTCCGCCCGTGTCATTAGCGGGGTGCGCCCCACAGCGGGGGGCCACAGGTGTGCGCCGTGGAAGGACCTCCGACCGGCCGCACCTTCTCAATGGGTGCCAGCGGCGGATTCATACAACAGTGCCGCACCACCCGCACGACCCCGCCCGGGACACGTGCGGCACGTGTCCAGTACCGTGGGAGAACACGGTGAAATATGCGGATGGGCCTCACCCATCCGCGAGTCGTGCGAGACAATTCCTTGTTTGATGTACGAGCTAATACTAGTGATGCATTTTTCAAGTGCATTTTTGGATCGGTGGCCGGTTTTAGAGAGCAGAACTGTAACGTCACACTGTGTGAGCCATAACTTCACACTGTGTGAGCTATAACTTCACACTGTGTGAGCTATAACTTCACACTGTGTGGGCTACAGCTTGTGATCTCATTTATATGCGCACAGACCGTTCAGCGTACGAATGGATTGCACCTGGGAAAGCTGGCGAACCTTCCGGCATCCATCGAGTAAAGGCCTTAGTCCAGCCGAACTCGAACTCTGGCTCAAGGGGTTTTAAGATCCGACTTGCGTGAGCCAGTTCATTTTAGGAATGATTTGAGATCAGACTCTGACCCGACAATTTTTATCACGTGGTCCCAAGGCTATCGTGGTCTGAGGTTTCGCTCAAGGCACCAGGACTAGATCTCTGACTCCGGAGATTTCGGAAATCTGTGGCTCGGACTGATTCTATTTTTGCTGAAAATTTAGCTGCTGTTGAATTTTCATAGCAGAACGTAACCTGTAAATAATAATTTTGATGCACACATGCTGTTCGGTGGCCTCACACCAATTCTGGATTGAATCAGATATATCAGGTTTGTTTTGAATGGCCATGGTTCGGTCCAGGTTGGTTTGCATTGGACACTAAAGCATCACGATGGTCATCAGCATCTAACTGTGATTTGGGTTGATATCTATTAAGCGAGACTATGGGCCAAGACAATTTTCATGCTGAAAATTACCTGCCTTGATATACCAGGAGGTCCTGTCTTACAGCAGACTTTCAACAGTCGTTACAGCATATTAGAATATTTGACGCTTTCAACAGTGCTTAAAGTAACGCATAAGCAAGGTTAAACAAGGTAAAACACGATGCATGGAGGTACGAAAATGTGCTGAATCCCTGCAACCTTTAATAAATGAAAAGAAAGCCAAGCCAACCACAGCGCTGTCAGCCAAACTCCCACTTCATGGCACTCGATACACTGTTCTACATCTAAGAGCTGCATGATCTCTGTTGCGGGGCAGAAAGGTATCGATGACTTGTACCGAGCATTGGTTGAAATATAGTTCACCATAGGAGAAAGAACATTTGCGCATTCGTTTAATCACGCAGCTTCTAACCACAGATACACGATACTATGCCAAGCGCAGCTCAAACCATAAATGGCCAAACCAAAGTCTCATCAGTGTTCAAACTAGCACAACATTAAAAAAGTACCCTGCTTCAAAAGCAACCGTTAAGTGACATTTGATGATGACGTCCGTGCATTTAGCCTCGGAAAAATTACTACTATTCAGCGATTCTGGGCTCTGTCGTAAGCAATTGTCCACGCTGTGTCGCGGCGTTTTTAAAGAGTGTGTTTTAGAGACGACATTTTTTGCCTCAAATGCCATTCCCACTGGCTTTTCCCCGCCTGCTCTGCGTTTGTGAACCGATAGCAACTGTGGGTTTTAAACTCCGAGTGCATTGACCTGGTCAATGTGTGCGGTCTTATTTATAAGCGACGATGTCGCTGCCACTAAATCACTATGTAACGACCATGTCACTGCACGGACGGCCGTGCTACGCCTCCGGGTCACGGGCGCCGCCATGATGTGCCCCGGCGTCGGGTCACGGGCTCAGGCGAGGTGTACCCGGCGTCAGGTCATGCGCTCCGCCGAGGTGTACCCCGGTGTCATGTCATGGGCTCTGCCGAGGCGTACCCCGGCGTCGGGTCACGGGCGCCGCCGAGGTGTACCGCTGCGTCGGAGCAAGAGCACCACTGAGGTGCATCCCGGTGCCAGTCGCGCCGCGATAAGGAACTCGAAACGACGCTGTGGTCAACGGCCGGGGCCCCCCTCCCGCCCGCCATCAAACACCGCCCCTGCGCGGTGGCGCAGACGGTCGAAGAGAGGGGGGGAGGGGGAGCGTGCACAGGGGAGCGTCCCGCGGGCCTTTGGCTCACTCGGGACCGACGATTAAGTTCTGAGGGCCAAAGGCCTCGTTCGCTGGCTGGAATCGCACTCAGGTCCCGGTCCGCAGGGCCGGATCTCCTGATGCCAGTCAGGCGCCGATTCCGATCGGCCCTTTACGCCGATCGGGTCGATGAGAGCCAGGGGACAGGGTCTGGGTTAGCTCGGAGACGCTCACGCTCGACTGATGGCGACCGGTGGCCGAGGGTGCCAAGTGAACATTGGTCCGGACCCTGTCGACGACATCTCGAGGAGGCTGGACTTCGCGGCCGGCGAGTATGGCGGCATGTGAACGACTGATCCCTCGGCAAGGAGTCGGTCTGTGGTCGGACCGCGCGGCAGAGGTCACACGGCGACGGTCAGGTCACCTCCTCACAGTGGTGGTGTATGACTGACTGGGGGCCACACGACTCCGTATAGTGTGAGCCCGAGCTGACGCGTGCCCCGACTTTTGAACTATTTTGCAATTTACGGTGCTTCCGCGCGGTCTAGTAGAGAGCGTGCGTTGGAATGGTCATGTGCAGCGTTATATGCTTCGTCGTTTGTCGACCAAAGTTGTCGCAATGAGATCTGATTGGCGAAGCATTGTGTGTTAAGCCACCCCGGAGACACGTCTCCGGTCCCAGCTCCCGGGGACCGGGACGTCAACAGATGCAGTGACCTGCTCTCCCCGGCCAGTCGCGCACTTACATCGGAAATCCAAATGATCTGTTGAATAGGCCATTGAAGTCATTTCACCCACAGGTTCTGACGGTTGACAGCGTGCTGTTCTGCGACGAATACCCGTCATGTGATGGTGCGAGTGAACAGCTGCGGCTGCTGGCCAGCCACCCACCCCAGTTCTTCGGCAGGCAACACTCAGGGCAAGAGATAATAAAGCCTATTCTGATCGGGACAAGTATAACCAGCACCAATATTATGCTGCCAGGTCCGCATAACTGTATCCACCTGATCCGCCGTTTTCATAACTCGGACTGACAGGGGTGTCGATGCGACCCACTGGTGTGGAGGTAGTAATGGAGATATTAATGGAGAAGTAGCTTGAAGATATATTAATGGAAACAGTAATGGAGACAATAATGGAGATAGAGCAGTAACGGAGACGGAGCTTAGCGGAAAAATACAGGGATAAGTCTCAACAAGATCTTGCAATTACTGCCAGTTTCCATGTCGTCAGGTCAATAATTGACCTTTTTGACAGGTCAAATTTAATTTTTCTCAGAATTACCTTCCTTAGCTTTACATCATGTATATAATACCAGACCTTGTGGCGACACAGTTTAAGCAGGCGTGTTTCTTGTTGAGTTTTGAGTATAATATGGTATATACTTATGTTTTTAACGTGTTTTTTAATCATATCTGGTTCCGTTAATGAAATGAAGTCGACCCACCACTCGCGTTCCAAGGCACCGTCGGTTGCCGCCTGCCGGCCACTCCGTCTGTATATCACCGCGCAGTGCTCCTCAAACCGGCGCCGCTTCGAAACCAGAAATGCTAAGACACAAAGTAGACCCATTTGTGTAGCAAAAACACGCAGCAGATGCTCCATAGACTTCTGGAAAATTGGGCGCGATTACACAGCACGCCGTAGAGGTATCCTAAAAACCCTAGTTTGGGGAGCCGCATCGACCCCCTCCCCCCCCCCTACCCTATCTACCCTACCTACTAACCTCCGTCCTATCAGGGCGGAGGTTAAAGGCGCTATCTAGTCAGCATAAACTGACTCAATGAAGTCAACTAGATGACTCGATGAGATCGCTTCACAAGGTCAGTAAAAACTGACCGGTGCAGGAAGCAAGTTCCTATGCCGGATACGGGTGGAATCATCATATTCATGCCAGCGCTTTCGCTGTGCTGACTTCTCTGTGCAGGCTACACCCAACCTGCTTGTGGAGAAAGTCAGAACTGGTGGGCCTGGGTATTTTGTCGGAGCGTCGATTTTGCGACTGGTTACCATGACGAGGTGCAATGGCATTCTGAAGAATGACGAACTGATGCGCCGATGAAAGGACGAGTGACGAGCTCTGATAGCGACTTTAAGAGGTGAGTGTTGAATGTATTGTAAAACACGTGCATTTGAATGATTCATGACCTTCATTGCAGTGACACATTGTGCAAACAAGCGAGGGCAGAATGACTAACTGCCAAAACACTATTCATTTCCATGCCACAACAGCAAAGGTAAATAAATACCGTACAAAAACAATCTCAGCAGCCTACGAACATTCACAAGCGCAGATCAGCACATAAGAGGCGTATATTACCTTACACACCACATACACACCCCTCATCTTACGTGCTGTGTACATAGCCAGCAGAGACACCCTCGCTTTTGACATCACCCGCGCTGCCATGCAACGTGGGCGCCCATGTCCGCCATGTCGTCTGCTTTCCGCGCCAGAGACAACCCGGTTCCGTCTCCTCCGCCGCGCGCTCTTCAGTAGCCGCCACAGGCCTGCTGACACTGGTGTCGCTTCAGGAAGTTGTTGGCGTTGCCGTCGCAGCCGCCAAAGATGAAGAGCTGGCAGGTGCCGGTGCTGGGGTTGAAGGCGTACCTCTGGAAGTACGCCCTGCAAGGGCCGCGAACCACAGGGAGAGAGCAAGCGGACCCTGAACTCCCTACAACGAGAGAGAACAGCGTTAGAAAGCGTCGGAAAAGGTGGGGCTGGACCAGGCCGGACAGTGCCGGACAGTGCCAGATGGTGCCGAACAGTGCCGAATGGTGCCGGCATCATTCGTCTCTGGTGTTTTCCCCCTCGTGTTATTCAGCGTGGTCCTGTGCTACTCGTTTATTTCGCCCGTTTCCAAAGAAACGACTCGTGACTTGGTATGACAACAGCTAACGTCGTGTACGCGACCCACGATCACATAAGCGATCCGCACATACTTGCAACATGCGTCACATCTGGTGTGGAAAGCTTCAAATTGCCACGGAATTTTCTCAGCCGGGGTTGCGAAAAATGGAGGCACGGTCGTCCATGGTAAGGTTGGGAAATTTCTTTCCGGCCCACTCCCATAGGGCGAATAAATGTTGTTGAAAAAATGTGGTGACTCAGTCGACTTGCCCCCTTCCCCTCTGTGCCAGTTACCATGCCCCCAAGGGGTGTTCACTCTGATGCGTTGGGTGTGACCTTAGACCTAAGCACATCACGTGTGAAAAAGGAACCAAAAAGAAATTGAACTGTGAGAGGGTGAAACAAAAGGGGTAACCGTAAACGGGGCACTGAAAGAGGCGTTAAGGTAAACTGAAACGAGAAGCTGTAGTGAACAACAGTGCTCATCAGAGCATGAGCCGATGGCGCAGACTGCATGTACTACATTTAAGTAATACGGCCATAGCTATACTGCCAGGTGACAACTAAAACGAATGCTCTCCTTTTCCGTGATTGCAAAAGTTTGCGCGGCATGAATTGTTGCGTCTCGCATCTCAACGGGGCCCACGTCTTCCAACTACCGACGGGCTCTGCTCAGTATCCTTCCGAGGATCAAACCTGCGTGAGAATGCAAGTCACCTGCACCGTCAAAATGGCTACGACAAGCCATCATGCTTGACGATTGCAATGCAGCAGTCACCTGGCTGCGCATTGCAAGGGGTTTTATTGCGCAAGGTTATTGATTGAATGGCTAGAAGTTTGATTTAACCTCTGCTTCGATGTTGATGCATGAATGAGTTGAGGCTGAGGACAATGCCAAATTATACGGTGTGATAATGGTAACTGATAAGTAAAATAAATGAAAAATCGCTCATCCGTACCAGAACAAACGTCTGACTACAGCTTTTGCGACCAAAGTTATCCTCTGTTGCGTTTTTGTGTCGATCACGGCGTCCTCCCTTCCAGAAAGCCGGGTCCGCACTCGGTGTACCGCGTCAGACCTCTGGCACCGACCCTGCGCACCGCACCCGGGCCCCACGGTGCGCAGCGGCGGGAATAGCGCCCCGATGAGGCCGTCAGTCCCCAAACACATCGGCCATTTGACCTGCGTGCCCTCCAGCAGCGGACCGGAACACACGGCGGAGCGAAGCAGGCGCGCCCGCCCCTGCAGGACGGGCGCGCAAGCTCACAGTCGTCATGACCTTGTGACGGTCCGCAGCAAAACACCACGGCGCGCCGAGACACTGCGGGTGCTGTGGCGAATGTGCGTGCAGTCACGGATGTGCGTCATATTGTGCGGGCGTGAAGGCATTTACAGGCGTGCAAATAGGTGCATTGATGTTTACATCTGCACGTGACGCACACGGAAAATGGACTGGAAGGTGGCAACAAGGTGATCCGTGACGTCATGCAAGGTGTTGGCGCTGAGCGTCTGTCCTGAGTCGGCATCTCTTTCAAAAGATGGGAAGCCATTAGATCAACTAACAACTCACGATGCCAACCGCTAACAGACGGCCGCACAGATCAATGACGCCGACCCACCGGAAAGTCAACATGTAGACCTCCGCTCCCGGGACCTACAAACTAAACACCCCACGAGTCCGGCAGCGGCGAGACCGATAACGCCCCCAAGGTCAGACTCTAGCGAAGCCCAACCATGCGCCGTACGAGCGTCTTCCTGCGCGCGAGCGCCGCGGACTGGTGGTGACAGGGCTCGGCCGGCGGTCGAGAGGTGCGTCCCACTCGTTCAGCACGACTCATCCCACCTTGCGCCCAGCAGAGGGGGAAGGGGTCACGGCACTCCTCTTCAACCGGAAGCTGCACCACACGATGCACAATGCCATGACCTGGACTGGCCCGCCGTCAGTGTGTGTACATGGGTGGGGGGGGGGGGGGGGGGCGGAGAAGCAGCTCCGTGAGCGGGACGTGGCACAATGACCTGGGCTGGCCCGCCGCCGATGTGTGTGTGGAGGGGGGGGGAGGAGAGGGGAGGGGCAGCTCTGCGAGCGAGACGTGGCATAATGACCTGGGATGGCCCGCCGCCGGTGAGGGAGGGGGGGGGGGTGCAACTTCGCGAGCGGGACGGGGCCGAGTGACCCGGCCACGGCCTCGAGGAGCGGTACTTGGCAACTCCGGTCACCTGACGTCACCAAGGCTCCGAGAGGCGTCAACGTGTTTGGAGGTGCCGACGGCGCCTTGCAGCCGTGGTCTGAGTGCCTGGGTCATGGATCCCCTGTACACCGTAAACAACAGATCTCACAGCGACGGCGGAAGCAAGCTGTTGAAGGCCCTTGTCTGATGCAACATAACAGGCTAGAGTCATGTTCTGCAGCGGTGTGCTGGTCAATACTAGATAATGCCCGTTCGTCGCTGGGCTAGTCTGGTGCATTGAATAACACGTGGCGGCGAACTCATTGGCCTCCCGCATAGCACGTCGGTGATCTCGGCAACCATTTAGCGCAACAGTTGGGAGTGGATGTACTGTGGCAGTGGTAGTGGATGCACAGAATAGTATCCAAAGCATGCCATTCTTGCATTCAAAACGAACATTCCTGGATCAACCATGAGACGTCACACTTTCTCCCGTTGTGAGCCGTCACCTGCAACGCTCAAAAAAGAAAATAAGCCCTGTGACCGGCGCATGGCCCTGGGTGCCTTTGGGATTGCCGTTAGCCAAGTGCACTGCCGGCCTGGTGAGGCTTTTATTCGCTGTTTCTTCGCAGCCGCCCGAGGGGACGAGTGCCGGCTAGCCTCGTTCAAGTCCATATTTCGTCGTTTGATCGAGCTGCGACAACTCCGGACTGAGTCGACTGCAGCCAGGCGGCCGCGCTCTTCCTCTCGATCCACAGGGGTCCTCCTCGTCGGCTCGTCCCCCGTCACTGTCCCACTGTGACTGTGGTGAGGTAGGCGTATGGGTGACAGAAGGCTGACACCAATACTAGTAGCAGGCTGACAACAACAGAAGCAGCGGGCTGGTCGGCGGCCTGCACGTAGTGTGCCCCAAGTGACTCTTTAACTCTTAAACTCATGCGGGAACTAGTGAGAACCGTATGGCAATTCCACAATGATGCCGACTACCGGCATAGCCAGGAATGTCAATACATGCTTGCCATGTGCTCGTTGAAAAGAAACATCACGCCATGTGAACATGTCACCAGGTATCAAGTGCTAAAACGCTACTCATGGAACACAAACCTACAACCGGACATAAGTCTACAACCAGCGCAATCGGATGCCTGTCTTATGATACGTTCAATGCACGCTGTGATCATGAGACGGTGGATGATGGTATATTTTGTTCCTGGGTTCAAATTTGAGAGCATGTTCGGTTTCAAACGGACTACACTTACGAATACATAACAGATAGCTCGAACCAAACTCTCGAAGGCATGCCTCATCTTCTGACCATAAGTTAGTTCTGAGTTTCGGTACAACATTGTATAAGCATAACAGAGCCTAAGGGAAATGCGGCGTGCAGAAGCGATGCTGGATGCACGGTATGGTGATCTGGCGCGAAGCACCAGACCAGATAAAGATGCCGAGTCCGTACGTGGCACTGGACCGCATGAGGCCCAGGCAGTTCATCACGGATGCAGAATGGAGAATCCAAAGGCTTCGTCCAGTGGGTCATGGCATCCAGGGTCCTGTTCACAACGGGCCGTTTGGCCACCGAGAATTACCCGCTGTACCGTATGACGGGCAGCAACTGGAGACCGCACGGTCCGCGCCGGTTCAGCCGCCCACCCGGGTGGACATCCCGTCAGATTCAGTCCATCTCTTACGTCACACCGGGCGAAGAGCCCGCTCGTGAGTCCGCCTCTGACGTCACACCGGGCGCAGCGCCCGCTCGTCATCCGGCCGGTAACGGACCGGCGACGACACGGGGCAGCCGGGCAGGTGCAGACGCCGGCCGCGGCAGCTCGGCCCGAGACCGGTCCGAGCCACGGGGCGTGGTTACTCCCGGGGCGGGCGGCACGGAGAGTGCTGCTTGCCCAGAGACAGCGAGAGCGATGGCTGGTCAGGCCGTCACCAGCAGCTTTTGCACTGTGATGGCCCCAAGAGTGACGTCTCTGTGGTGGCCCCAACAGTGACGTCACTGTGCCCCAACAGTGACGGCGATATGGTAACATGGTGGTCATGGCGCCGGTGTGAGAGGGATTACTGCTGGAAAGGGCAATGACTCGGTATAAGAACGGTGACCGCACTGATACCACAACCCGAAGACAAGCTCTTGATCCCTTGCTTTCAAGACGACGCCCAAGGTGAGCTTCTGCAAACAATTACTGGTGGTCTAGTCCGTGCGTCGTTTGCACTGCCCGTGACAAATTGTCGCAAGCAACCTCCCGGAAAATCCCATGAGTGCTCGTGTGTCTTTCAATCGTATTGTAAGAGTGGTGGCTACAACGAACCGGACTGTGTCGGAATCCTGGCACGATCCGCATGATCCGCCGCCAGCACTAAAGCAACAATAACAGGCTCTGAGGCCGACCCCTCGAGCTGAACGGGTCTCGTCCCAACGCAGATGATGGGGAGGGTGCGAGCGGATTGAAGGCATCGAAATGTGACTGTATTTCAGAGGATCGATAGAAGGTACAGGGATGAAAAGAATGGATTGCACCCATTCACGCAAGCGGTTGGACACTTATTTTCCCAACGCAAATCAGAGCACACATTTTCAGCGTAATGAAAAGTATCCCCTAAAATGTCTAAGAATTGCGTGTGGTCTCTTGTGAAGCCTCTTTGACAGCAAATGAATTTGTTCTCACCTGAAGCCAGTGTGCTGGCAGTCGCTGTGCCCTAAAGTCAATCTTTTAGTAAAAAATCCACACCCTTTTCGGCATTCATTTCGGAATTCCAGCATAATGCAAATGTGTGATCTGCTTTTACAAGCGTGGCCACGAGGCAAGAAAGCCTTACGTAATAAAAAGTCCCAGTGTGAGTAATTCGGCGCAGGCATGAGTTTTCTGGATACTGGCATCTCTGCAACCGCCGTTCGCAGCTTCGTGCAGTTTTCAGAAACAAGACACACATTGCTTCAAACTATGCTTCAGAAACTACCAGGCGGTTGTAGGCAAGACATTCAAATGGCGGGGTTGTCCTGTGATGATGAATTTTTAGCAAAAGTTTGCTGCACCCAATTTACAAACGTGAGAAGAGAAACTTTCCTAAAAGTACAAATCTGCGCGATAAGGATAAACAATGAACCCAGATCTCGATGACCGCGGCGTCTCAGTGGCGCAAGATGGCAAACTGGCACTGCTTGACAGAGAAGTGTTATATATATATATATATATATATATATATATATATATATATAATATGATATAACAAGGAAGAGCTAACAACAACTAAGACAGTACTAATATTCTTATTCCTTCTAGAACAACCAGGAGAATGGAGAGACAGATGCAGTGATATTTCGGCTACACAGCTTTACCGAAGCGAAAATCATTACCGATATTCGTTTCGATAAGGGCATGTAGCCGAAATATCACTGCATCTATCTCTCCAATGTATTATATGGTCTGGTTATTCTACGAGGAACAGGGCTATGAGTGCCATCCGATTTATACCTATGATGGCCTTTAGATCCTCGCAAATGCACTTAACAAGATACGTAAGGGCTAACGACCTTCGACATACCAGCAGGCACTGGTTAAACAAAATTGTGATGCTAAACAACGATCCTATTAACGAAGCCCAGTATTTCGAGCTGCGCCTATCCTCATGAGCCATCCTCAAGAAACACTCGAAGATGAACGCGTCTTGAGATATTGAGCTTAGTCGATAGAATCACTGTTTGACACTGGAACATCTTTTAACCAGTATCTCCAGCATATTGCTGGTTGTTAACACAATAACATTGGACTCATAAAGCCGGAAAACAAGGATCTAAAGGCCGAGAGGCTAAAGGCTAAGATCCTTTCAAATCGACATGCCTGCCCCCACAACAAAAAACATATTTGCATCCAGGCTACTAGGTCAGGCCTGGTTTCCTCTCAAAATTGCCGACTTTGGCAAATCGTGTTTAGCATTGCATGAACGATCTAATAAATTTTGGTTTCATTTGTCTTGCTCTTTCCAGTTCGAAGAAATCAGTGAGCAGGCATCCGACCAGCCCCGCCAGGGCGGCGTTTACACGGGCCAACTTCAGCGCGAGGGAGAGCTGATTGGTGGAAAACATCGGCAACCAGGACAGTGCAGACGTCAACCTAATGCGCGGCTTAAACCGATGCACCATCTACCTACTACAAGCGGCATTAGCGCTGTTCGACGCGACGGCGCGCCAAGGGTGGATCAGGAGGCGACCGGTCTCACCTTTCCGGAACCAGGACTCAAATACGCACTTACATGCTAATAACACGCCAGATGAGACGTGTTGGCGGTATGCATGTATGTTTGTATGTACATTCTAACACACCAGAGGAAGACAGTGGTCCGAAGAAGCATTCCATCCATGGCACTAGTGCCCCGTCTCTTACACCGCACTATTGACGATTCATATTGACGATATACCGATTCAATATTGGCGAGTTATCTAAAAGCGTCCACAGTGTACATGACCTTAAACGGCCCGCTGAACGGTCAATTAAAGTTTCTCATTCCTCGGCCGCTGACAAGAACAGCGCATTCATTTTCAGAACTCAGCTTCTACACGCAGCAAACCAAACCGACCTCTTGCTCTCGCCTTGTATCGTGATTAGCGGAGTAGGTGCATGCAAAGTACTTAGCACAGGCAACCGAAGACAGCTCTGAGCAACAATGCGTGCCGCTGATTTGCAAATGGTTCGCCGCGCCACGCACAGCTGACCGGAGCGTCAGCTGACCGTGGCCTGGCGACACCCACCGATCAGAGCGTGGCCGAGCGATACGCACCGGTCAGAGTGTGGCCGAGCAACACCCACCGACCAGAGCGTGGCCGAGCGACACTCACCGATCAGAGCGTTGAAGGCGTCGTTCAGAGCCGGATAGCCCACGGCCAGCCCCACCAGCGCCATGAAGATCACCGCCCTGCACATCTTGAGGTGCTCTTTGACTGTGTTGCAGCGCCGGAGCGGGTCGAATGCGGTGCGCCACTGCCGACGCCGTTTTATAGTTAGGCCTGGCGCCGGGCATCCCGGCGTGACGTCATCAGCCGGGCCCGCCGCCGCCGCCGCCGCCGCCGCGCCGCAGCCGCCATCACCGCCGCCCGCGCGGCCGCCAAACGCCACGCCGCCTACGTATGGCCTCCGGGTGTGCGTGCACGGTCTGCTCCTGTCACGAACTGCCCCCGGCGCAGCAGTCCGAAAAATTGGGGCGGGGCAGGGGGAGGCGGCAGGTACACTGGGGCGGCAGCTGCACAGGGAGGCCCGAGGGGTGGTCACTATGGCGGTCAACGAGCGGCTCGGATGCGCTGACGCTGGGACGGGCCGGCACCAGCTCACTCCAGGGGCGCCCTCGCGTAGGGGTGTGCTGATGTCACACGGTAGATCGGCGAGCGGCGGTATCAATCGACGACCTTTGTTGACAAACAGGGATACTGGACCGACCCGAATATTTTACCTTTATATTTGGCTGTGGTGCTGGACCGACCCGGAAACGTTGCCTGGCAAAGATGGTAATGATTTCCTAGTTGCTGATAGGCACGGCATCGTTTCAGGGCTGATCCTGTCTGGCGCGCTGTCGCCTCAGCTGTAGATGTCAACCACGCTAACAGCATCCGCAATCCACGCCGCTGCATGCGATGGAGATCAGATGAGCCTCTTGTGGCCTGTGAAACCCGGGAAGCACTCTGTTCTTGTGGCCCGGGCAGCACTCTGTTATGAGATTACCACCGGTGTCCTGGCACAACCTGCCCACTTCGGCCCTTAAATACTCAGATCGGCTCTTAGTACGTGTGTCCTGAGCACGCAAGGATGCAACTTAGCATGCTTTATGCCGCGAATAAGCAGCTTAACACGCGACTGTGCTCAGCAACGATACCCAGAGGTCGCCCGCGTCTAAACAATGTGCGCATGATGTATATATATATATATATATATATATATATATATATATATATAGAAAAGGCAGTTTTGTTGGTCTTATGTCTCGTAGAATTATCACGAAAATGAGAAATAGACGCATCGATTGTTCGGCTACATGCCTTTACCAAAACGAATATGAGCATCAAACTCAAAATGCGAAATTGCCTTTGATTTTTTCTGTTGCTCTTTTTTAAACAGCGAGCCACAGTCTCAACAATCACCGACATTCAGGAAATTTAGCCAGGAGAAATTACCAATCGTCGATGTGACCGAATGATCTCCAAGATGACCATTTCGGTGCAAAACCCCATACACATATGGAACACTCCCTTTAAATGGTAAACCACGTTTACTTGCGTGCAAACCCCAGTGAGCCGAAGCTTGCATAAACGGTGCCTAGCAGAAGTTAGCGCCCAAATGCTATCACAAATGATACCTAGTGCCCAACGGGCAATGTGTGTCATGTGTGTCATGCATGTCTGGGCTTCAAGGGGTTCGCACGCAAAAATTTGGCTTACCAAATTAAGCGTAACTTGTGTGAAACATATGCGAGGGACATAGTCTATGTCGGGAAGTCCATGCGCCCTTTTTGTTTGTGGTACAATGACCATCTGCGTGGAGCTGACAAAAAAGCAGATACTCCTTTCGGCGACCATTTTTGACAAAACACACTCAGGCCGAAATCCATGGAAGTACGAGTTTTATACCCCTTTAAAGCTCAAGGTCAGCTACAGAGTGCAGGACCATCCAGACAGAAACATAAGTGAATCCATTCTTATGAGAAACTGGCGACCGGACCAAAGCGTGCATAGCTCATCATGGCCGACTGCGTGAATGTAAATAGAGCCTTAATGCGTGATGCGTGCTAGCTTACATCGTCTACATGTATGAGTGATGCGTGATGCGCGATGCCTGTTTGATTGGAAATGTTTTGCATGTTTAAGTGATTTGTGATGCATGACAGCTGTTTCCTCGCAATCGCTTGCATGGATGAATGATGTGTGATGCGTGATGACTGCTTAGTTGGATACGTTCGTTTGCTCACGCGATTTTTGCGTATTCTTATCCTTGGTTGGATATATACTGTGTCGTATTAATGGCTGGTAATTGCTCCTGGTTTAATCTCTTGAATGCTGGTGACTTGTAAAGACTGTGGCCTACAGTCTAAAAAAAAAACGAAAAATGGAGTGGGCTCGCCAAGTTAATTATAATTTTGACTGTCCTACTCACAGTCGTTTTGTAAAGGCATGCAGCCGAAATATCAGTGCACCTGTCTTTTCTTCTTCCTGGTTATTATACGAGGAATAGGGCTAACAAAACCGTTTTATCCAAACCCGGAGGCAGCCAACACCGCGCCCTACCAACAAATGAAAAGGTACACATCTGTCTATTTGTTCTGAGCATTTGTGCTGGTGATCCTGGGAAGCAGGTTCTTTGATGTCAACGAGCACCTGTCAACTGTGCGTCTCGCTTAGTTTAAAATGTTATGCTGAGACATAACTTCTCGAACCTGCAGGGTGTTTTTCTGAGGCTGTTGTTGTATAATAAGTCAGGCATCATGCATTTGTACACTCCTGTCTCTGGGACGTATCCAAAGTACTCAAAATGGCCTTGCCTTCAGCACATTACGGCAGCCGGGCGTTTGTTTGCGCCAAGCACACCGGCGAGCAGGAAGTGCAGCCTCTGAGCGTTGCATGGCCACGTGCCATACAGGTGCTTACGATTCTACGACGAATTTAACGAGGGCTTATTACTCTGCACGAGCAGCTGTGATTCAGATAAAACGAGGACCCGGCCTCGATCAAAACTATTGGCTCATGTCAACACCAGCACGCCGTTCAAGAAAGTCGAGCCGCGCGCCGGCTGAAATCCCTTCTCATGAGAGGACCATCCGTTCAGGAAGGAATTTGTAGTCCGAATCGCATGGGCGTGTCCAAATTCGGCCTGCCATCACCTGTTTCGTGGTTTTGTGTTTCTGTTTTTCTTTCCCGACGTCCGCATCGTTGCGCTGAGTCTTCCGCTCCTGATCCTTCTGTTCCTGATTTAGCCTGCCCTGCCTCCGCCCCTGACAACGCGCGTGTCCCCGCTTTCCGTCCCGTCCCTGGTCCACAGTTGGACTGCCCCTTCCGGGCTAAATTTGGGCTACCGTCAGGCACCCATGTAACCAGAGCAAGTGTCGCTTCCTGGAGCGATCCCGGACCTGCTCGCCCGACCTCAGCCCACGGCTGCCCTGCAGTGGCAGACCCTCCACTTTGAACGGCGCTGCCTGGTACACGGCCGGGATTCGACACTGTCGCCGACTTCACCATCTCAAGACGGTGTTAAACAACTGCGGATATATCACGTAGCGACCCGCTAAGCAATGAGCGAGGTCTCGCCGGCACAGCCTGCTTGATGCGGTCTGTCACCCTTTTCAGCGACGTCTCCCAGACTGTGCAGCATGTGGGGATGATGTGCTGGCTTTGCTCCGGGTAACTTAACTCGACCTGGAGATTCGATGTCCTGTTTTTGTCACACCGTCCATCTTTGAGCTCATTCTTTACGGCCTTTTATGGCAAAAAGGTGAAAATTGTAGCTATGTCGGCGTCATTGGCGTCGTGCAGGACATACCAACTGCTGAGTGGTTTGGAACGCAACAAGTGGTAATGCGTTGCTTTTGCATGGCGCAATCACTGCATGTCTAGTTAATGATCGTGTTTTATGTTTGTGATTATTCCAGATAAATGTGCCAGCGAATCAAATTAGGAAAGTTACGTCTTCTTTGACCTCCAGCACATTATGATGTGATCTAGCGCCTGAAATGTGTCACAAAATTGTTTAGTCGACAGGGTCATGCCATGCTTCGTTATCAGATTGCCATTTTAAAGGTCATAAGAACGCCATTTTTTTCTTATGGCCACATTCAAGGTCATGACAAGCTTGAACATTGTTTAGAGGACTGTTAATGTATATTTCTGCATACCAAACTCATAATAATTGAAGCCTGCCTAAAAAAATGTCGTTATCACGGGTCAAGGTTGTGGAAGGTCATAGAGTGTATTTGGGTGGTGCCGAAGTAAACCCTGCAAACAAATGGTGGAAGGCTTGACTTTGTATCAGCCTTGTGCTACGGATCAATGCGAAGCCACGTTCAGACGGCCATAATGTGGTTTGAGCCCGTTTGACCCCATATGGCAGATCAACCCTCAGCGAGACGGCTACAGCGTAGTAGAGGCCTGGCGGACGATCTACGTCATAAGTGGTGATGGCCTGATTGCAGACAAAGGGCGTCGATCTTTGCTATAACCGGCATGTCCACTTTTCGGTTCAGGCCGGCGTCACGACTGTGAAAGTTACTCATGGAATTGCTTGTCGCTGGTGGAGACTAGTTAGCGAGGTCTGAGAACGGGTTCGAAGAGCCGCCTCATACTTACATTGCAAGCATCCCGTTTTAATCTTGTTAGTTATGAAACCCAAGAGCACGGCTTGAAATAGCACTATCTGCATTCAAAAATGAAGTATTGACATCATCACTGAACCAGTATCTTCCGGTACAGTGAAGGTCTATATCTGTCAGCACTGAAACTCGGAGCTCATAATGCCGAAAACACACGGTGAGATCAAGTTACTAATGGATCTTGGCTTCATGCGAGCCTCGCGGGTTTTTCTTACCTCGGTTACTAGGCACGGACAAAAACTCAGTTTTGGCATAGTTACTTATTGTCTGCACCATGTTCATTATTATAAAACGAATTTAATCTTAGTTGTATCTGGAAGACAAAGAGCCCGAGTACCATAGGACCCAGATGCACCTAGTCAGCCGAACATGCTGGATACCGATGAACTGGCTAAAAATCCGAGATAACCCTAGTTTGATCTCCGCCACAAGTGGCTTTCACAGGATTCGCTTTTGCCTGGTATGAACGAATTTCCACGAATACATGCGATAATCAACCGACCACTCTGGTTGCTGGTAAGGTGGTGTAAATCTGAAGGGTCCCACGCCCAATTCCCACCGCGGGAAGCACTGAACGCCATCTTCAAAAAGCGCATAATGAAATTTC